TTGTAGAAAGGAGACCTGAATGAAGTATCAATTGGTCAATTGGGCCAATAGTAAGCTACTCTGCCTGGTGGACTGCCAGCAGACCATGTCGACTGTATGCAAGGCAGGTTGGCATACATCGCGTTTGTCAACTACGGCGCGAGCTCGCGGACTGCTTAGGCAGACGCCGTCCTTTTGCTTTCGAGAAGCAATAGCAGGAAGGCAAAGACAAAGCTTCGAAAAGGGCATGATTATTAGTGTGAGAGGTAAACTTTGGACTATGAAGGAACAGCCGTTTGACACGGGAAAAGGACAGCTAAGTCGCAGTAAACGAGACATTTCAAGAGAAAAACAATGTTCACTAATGTCTGCGGTGGATCCTGATTCTCTTTCTTTTCTTGAATACATTTCGTCAATTTGATAAAGAATCTGACTAGTGACAAAAGTCATCTTACTCATTATTAGAAGAAAATAAAAATTTTGGAGTAGTTAGCTGAGAACATGTGCGATATCGTTGCGGTGGAAAGCAGACGCTGTCAAGGTGCCAATATCTCGACATGCTAGGGCCACGTCAAGCTGCTGGTACCTTCCTCTCTCACAGGAGCCCACTATCTCCCTCCCTCTCACCTCAGGCAACCCTCACCACACAAATTTTGACGAGGCGCGTGCAGATGTGCCGGCAGCTCACTTCGTGGAAATGCCAGTAGCATCTTCTCCTGTCCTCCTCAATATCTTATATATAAAGCTGAATGTCTGTTTGTCTGTATGTCTGTCTGTCTGTATGTATGTGTGTACGTATGTTCCGAATAGAAAATTCCATTTCTGAACCGATCCGGACCAAACTTGGCACACATACACTTCGGACTCCGGTGGGTGTCATAGGCTACTTTTCGTCATCGATCGATATCGATTTTATCGATTTTTATCGATTTTTTTGCTGAGTTCACCTACGGGGCTGGGAGTTGGCATAGGGGGGTAATCGAGCATGGGGATTCCGAATACAATATTGGTTTTCAGGATTATCGATTACTTTTATCGATTTTATCAATTTTTTTGCAAAGTTTGAGCTACGGGGCTGGGAGTTGGCACAGGGGGGTAATCGAGCATGGGGATTCTGAATACAATATTGGTTTTCAGGATTATCGATTACTTTTATCGATTTTATCGATTTTTTTGCAAAGTTTGAGCTACGGGGCTGGGAGTTCGCACAGGGGGGTAATCGAGCATGGGGATTCCGAATACAATATTGGTTTTCAGGATTATCGATTACTTTTATCGATTTTATCGATTTTTTTTGCAAAGTTTGAGCTAGGGGGCTGGGAGTTGGCACAGGGGGGTAATCGAGCATGCTGATCATCCCCAAGGGGGGTGATCAGCATGCTCTATTACACCCCTTGCCAAATTCCAGCCCCCTAGCTCAAATTTTCAAAAAATCGATAAAATCGATAAAAGTAATGGACGATCCTGAAAACTAATATTGTGTTCGTAATCTGCATGCTCGATTACCCCCCTGTGCAAACTCCCAGCCCCGCAGGTCAAACTTTACAAAAAATCGATAAAATCGATAAAAGTAATGGACGATCCTGAAAACTAATATTGTGTTCGTAATCAGCATGCTCGATTACCCCCCTGTGCAAACTCCCAGCCCCGCAGGTCAAACTTTACAAAAAAAAATCGATAAAATCGATAAAAGTAATGGACGATCCTGAAAACTAATATTGTATTCGGAATCCCCATGCTCACTTCCCCCCCTGTGCCAACTCCTAGCCCTGTAGGTGAACTCTGCAAAAAAATCGATAAAAATCGGTAAAATCGACATCGATCGATAACGAAAAGTGGACTGTGACACCCGCCGGGGCCCGAAGTGTATGTGTGCCAAGTTTGGTCCGGATACGGCGGAGCCGGGTAAGCCAGCTAGTTTTCCTATAAAAAAAGGGGGGGGGGTGAAATCGCAAATTGCGGCGTAGCTTTTTGCAAGGCCACTATTGCGTCCTTAACAAGCATTTTTTGTGGAAAGGATAATGACGGCTCAAGCGTGGAATTCTGTTTTCGCCTCCCTCACCTCAAATTATGGCGGTCTGTGGCCTGCCGCCAGGTCAAGGCTAGTACTAGCCCAGACGCAGCTAGCTTTTCATTTCATAGATTGTGCAAAGTGAAAATTTGCTCAAGAACTTGGACCAAATAAGATGTAAGCAACTTGGCCATAAATCCATTTACAGTCATTTCATTTCATATGATCATGTGTGCCATTGCACACACAGTCCACTTTGGCGTCCTCATACTGGATTTGCAATCGCAAAAACGGAAGAGACTTACCGATTGTTATCGATTACATCAATTTGAGGTGACTAGTAACTAAAAAGGAATGAAAATGCTAAGAACACCTTGGAAACACTTACCTGAAGGCTTGTTTCTCCCACGAATCCAGGATGGGGAGCCAAAGGTGGACTGTGTGTGCAATGACACACATGATCATATGAATTGAAGCGACTGTATACTCCACTATACAAAGTTACATGATATGCACTCAAAGGATAAGCATGAACAATTTAGACAACAGGAAAAACTGCCCCACTATGTAGAATGAGCATAAAGCTAATATTCCAAAATATAGCCGGTTTAACTACAGAGTGGCCGATAAGTGTGGGCTCCACAATCTATATCCAAATAAAACCGAAACTCTGTAAATGTGTTCGTTAGTGAACCGATGAGAAATTCGTCTCCCTTTAAATAAGGCACGGCGATTTGTTGGGCCCTTTAATCGTTATTGATTTGTTTACTCACATCGAGGGTTCACCAACCATTGTTGGATCATTTCCTCATAGTCATGTACTTAGACACTGGAAGCGAACAAGCCGCGGCCTTTTCCGGCTGGAATTTCGCAGCTCCCGCGGCCCGGCCGGAGAGTACGCCTCGGCTCAGTCGGCGATGAGCATCGGCTCGGCCGCAGGTGGTTCTCGGCTTAGCCGCTGCAATGTTCCGCCCCATCACTGAGGGCCGTGGCTGAGCCAGTGAGCCCATTTCCTCCCGCTACTCGGCCGGTGCAATGATAATGACATGAACGAAGGGCCGCGGGTCGGCCGCACCCCGGCCACGCCCCCAAATTAAGGCCGCGGGCGGCCGGAAAGGCCTTTTAGGGCCGCGGCTCGTCCGCTCCCAGTGTTTGAGTAGGTCGGGCGGTAAAGTTCATTTACACTTCTTGGCGAAAAGGATCCGATTTCTCAAGTCAGCAAAGAAGACATATCGCAGTTTCCAGATATGGAGAAGAGCGGTAAGTCTCAACGCGCTTGGGATCAAGTAGCCCAATTCCCGGGAGAGACCGGGGACGCCATCTAGTAAGTGATATATTTCGTTGAACATTCTGTGATGACGGCTAAAACACCTATAGCTTCTCAGGCACTCGCACCGGCCGGTGACCGTCCGACTACCGGCCGGTGGGGGTGGTGTCAATTTCACTCAGCCGCGTAGTCTACGACCACCGGCCGGTATTCGGACGGCCGCCGGCCGGAAAGGTACGGCCGCCAGCCGGTGTATACTGAGGAACGGTAGAACTGTTTTACATGGTAGAATTGTCTTTTATTCACTGGCATATAGGAAAATACACTGCAAAGAACAAAAATCAAGGCCGCTGATGTAGCAGCTTCGGAGACCACGTCCGATTTTGAAATTCGACAACACCGAGATACTATCGAGGGTTGTCTATAAGACAACATGTTGCCGTGTTCTTGCTTCGGAAATTGAAGAACATACAAGGCATTGAGGGTAGCCTAACCATGCGTCGTATCTCACGCAAGTATCCTTTACGCTAAGACACTGGGAGATGGAATTTTAGGACGGTCGCCGGCCGGCATGATCTTTTGGGACGGTCGCCGGCCGGCATGATCTTTTGGGACGGTCACCGGCCGGCATTTAGCTCCGCCCAGATCTATGGAACGGTCGCCAGCCGGAAGGCCGTCGTCGGACGGTCGCCGGCCGGTGCGAGTGTCTGAGTTTTGCGAGCCTCTATATTCTGATAGTTGAGATTCGAAGTGAGGTTTTCGATTCAAACGGGCTCTAGAATGCTTTCAGTTGAAAAACATTGCCCGGCGGCCAGTTAACATCATGTTTGCAGTACCCTTTTATTTTGAAGCGGTGAAATGCTACGGTAGCGGCACTGTGTGATTTCTTGGACTATGCCCTACAAAACCTCATGTCTCAAAAACAATTCACTCGTTTTACTCGTAATGGATTATTGTCACGGGTTCGCGATAGGTATATTCTTTACTTACAAGGGAAGGATATTAACTTAGATTCGCATTTTGAGATGGGACAAGTAAATTTGGAATCAGCTTTGAACGCTGATTTCAAATATGCTGTTTCTAGCTGCTTAGCGTTATTCCGGAGCGAGTTAAGGGTTGGCTGTTGTGAGTAATTAACAAACTTCAGAATTTTGTAACACGGCGTGTAGGTAAGAATATGCTCGAAGAAAGTGCTAGGATGTTGAACTAGCATCAGATTTATTCTTTCGATCATGAAAGGGAGCATAATACAAGTGTAAAATCACCCAGACGTCGACATCGTAGCATCACTAGGTTGAGGAGTACGCAAGCTTTGCCATAGAAAAGAGACCATAACTCACTTCAGAATAACGCTAAGCAGCTAGGAACAACATATTTGGAATCTGCATTCCAAGCTGATTTCAAAAGTATGTGTCTCATCTCAGAAGGCGAGTCTAAGTTAGTATCCTTCCCTTGTTAGTATTTTTTTACGCGCTAGCTTCAAGATAAGCTGGACATATATGCATTTGCAGGAGCTCAGCCTTGTAGAAGTAACACATCAAGTTGCCTCTCTGTTTTTGTTATGCAAGAATAATTTCACAGAACCTTGTCTTTTATGAAGAGTTTTGCGAAGAGAACTGTGACGGCCCGTACTATTCGGCCACCGTGTACATCTCAAAGTGAAGGGAATGAAAAATTTGAAGAAGTTGTTGGCTGTTGTTTATTTCAAAGAGATCAATCTAGCGACTTATTATAAAGGTATGCATGTTGGTTCATTCGTCTAAACTCATGAGGAAAGGTGTTTTGCTTCTATGGTGAGTACAAGGAAGTTTGACATTCGCGTATAAATGCTGGGATTCAAGTTACCTCTGCTTCGAGCTTGTGCGATCGGGAGAGAGCCCATTTCATAGAACGGTCAAAAGAACATGTAAGTTGCAAACTTCTGCTACGAACAAATCAGATCAGGATTTCCTCGCGGTGTAAGCTTATCTCAATCTATCTTAGATAACAGATGTGATGCATGCCTCTTCAGGCAGCAGGATGGTGACACTGTGATTATAGTAAAGGGTACAAATGTTGATGTTGATGAGAAGTGTGCGATAGTGCGCGCAAAAAGGAATGGTGATAATTTTGATGCTTTTCGTGATTCATGTTATCATAAATCCATAGATACCGAAAACTGCGAAGAGCTTTGTGGTGCCCATGGTCATTGCTCTCTGCGTGAAGCGGGAACTCCAATCGAACATGTACTGTTCCACCGATTCATAAAAACATTACAGAAAATTTTCAGTACGAATGCATTTGTGATTATGGCTATAGAGGAATGCACTGTGAAGAAAGTAAGTTTGTTTCAAGTTTTGATTGATATTAATTAAAGTATTGACAACGTGATCTCCACAGGAAATATTGCACGTTTCGTTAACCTTTGTGTTTCTGATCTATCGCAAAGCAAGTTTTTAGAGCAGAAATCGAGTGAAACTCGAGTGATCACACTGTGACAGAACCTTAGAAGAAACTGGCCTACCCTTTGATTCAACTGGATTGGCGGCTAAAAGGCGATACGCTCACACTCGCGACGCAGTCTGCGTCTCCTTCACGAGCGTGCACTTTGATCATTCTCTAGTCTGGACTGAGCCTCGAAGCCCCGCCCACAGACACCAATCCTTTTGAATAAAGGGTACACAGCCTAGGATAACTCAACTTTGATTCAAATGGATCATAAGGCGACCCACACCCTTTTATTTGACAGAGTTTGGGAACCAAAGGCTAGCCGCATGTGAAAGCAGATGACCACGAGCTAAACGCTGCGATCGGGTGCATGGGCCGCTCTAGCGATGAGAGGTGTTCGCATCCGCTTCAAGACGATGCACCATCTGCTTTGTCTGTAAACAGGAATCAAGTTTTCTGAGGCGGTTGACTCATTACTTTCAGCAAAGATATCTACATTAACAAGCTAGCGTCCAGTTCCTTCAAATCGCGTGTTCAGAAATACGCACGAAGTTTGCCTTAATGTATGTGGTGTGGGTACTTGTGGCTATAGAAATTCTTTTCATAATTGTGGCAGTGAAGAGATATGCGTAAGTTTTTAGGCATGCCATGAAACTTATCGGTAACTAATTCGTTCGTTTCTTTCAAGACAGCGTCAATTCTTCATGTCACCGCTACCACATAGGCGTTTCGTAGACGTCATGCTGTCGAGAAGCAAAGAGTCTAAAAAACAGAAGTAGAAAGTTGTATCTTATGTAACTGTTGAAACCTATTTCACTACAGACACTGTGAGATTTTCAGTATTTGATAAAGCTGTTTGTTCTCGAAGATATCTGCATTTCTACTTTCATACCTTGCGAAAATTCTTAAACAATTTGAAAACAGACATACAGTAACATGCATGCTTGCTCAACACGTTGACGACAGTACTGCGCAATGGTGCCCGGAAGGCAATTATCCCTGTGGACCCACCGCGCAGTGGTGCGCGTCACCTAAGTATCAGTTATAATCTGCCTAGTTGTTCTAAATTGTGTTCGTAAACCCCGCCCAAGTCAGGCAGATACCACCCCTTAGTGGCAAGCTCCGCCCACTTTTCGAAAATTGTCAGAATTTACGCGGTTAGATTTCGAGCAATTTCCAGCATTTTTTTTTGTCATGTGGACATAGCTTGCCAGAAGGGGGAAGCCGCCCGTATTTTTGTACTTAGAGATACACGCATATGCAGCCAGACGTAAAAATGCCTGCAAGCAGTTTGCCGACAGCGACATACATCAAAAAATGGCTCATCGTAAAAATCCCAAAATGAATACAACGGGGGGGGGGAAAGCATGGATTCCATCTCCATGTGAGTTATGAGTTCAATGTCTAGATCTATATCAGTTTGTCAATATATTCGATGCAAGCCGTTGCCTATCGTTCTTACACTGGTCTGACTGGGATTAGACTCGAACTCTCATGATGATGTTTTGCATTCGTTCACATTCGTTAGCATTTCCTTGTTCATTCCACTCTATTACTAACCTCTCATTTTGTTTTGTTTTTATGGGACCCTTTGAGCGTACAACTGAAAAGGAACATGAAAAATGAAATGAACGCAACCTCCTATCTGATGCTCATTCATGTGCGTGTAATGATGTATCCCCAAAATTTACGGCAAAATTTCAATTGCCACCAGCAAGATACGCGCGGGTCGCAAAAGTAAGCCTACGAGACGGCGACTCTCCTTCTCCCTAGTTCTACAATCCCACCTAGTTTTCAACTTCAATTCCGGAATTCTGAGTTTTGGACATAAGATCTAATCATTTTTTCGCTTGACTGCTCAAAGGCAGTGATTCGGGGAAATTGCAACTGCGAGCTTTCCACGCCTGCATGGCCTTCTGTATGCGCTGAGTCCATTGCTGTGAAAGTGTCAAAAAGTACTTTTTACGGCGTTTTGCTAGCCTAAACATAGCTGGAGGGGATGGGCGAGGGATTCCCGCCAATTGGCTGCTTGAGTCGATCAGCCAATAAGGCCAGAATGTTTGGAGTCACATTCTCCTACAGCCGCTGTTTACGGCAGGAATCCCTCGCCCATCCTCTCCAGCTAGCTCCACTGTAGGAATACCCGTAAAAAACACTTTCCTGACTTTTCAAGCGCAGCACTGGACTCAGCGCATCCAGAAGGCCATGTCCAGTCTTTTTAAACCTGGAGTAGGCGAAACATTCCAAGTGGAGCAGTGCGTCCGCATCGCTACTGGCTCGACGAGATAGATTCGAATGAAGAGAAGCAAACTGCCAAACGGCGCGAATCGTTGCGGAGCGGACTCCCGTCAGTCCAATTTCCGCTTAAGCTGAGTTGAAACTTACTTGTGGAAAGCTCGCAGTCACAATTTCCCCGCCACTGCCTTTAATCCAAAAGAAACTTCCTTAAGAAAGAGCTAGTCTATGAGGTTTCAATCAATATAGTATCTAATCAGATGCAGGACAAACTATAAAAGAGGAAGAATGGCGCGCCAAATGGAAGCTGACACTTTTTATAGCCGTTGACCTGACTTTGTGCCAAGAGAAGTTTTCGGTGGCATGCATTTGTCTGCAGTAATTGTCTCGAGTAGCACGTTACTGAATGGTCACGGCCTACATTTTCGTTGCAACGCTGAAAAAACAAGGCGCCGTGTAAGCCATGCTCTTAAAAGCAGTGACTCGGCAATTCTCAATCAAGTCAATTTTTTTCGCTTACATGGGGTTGTTCAGTGCACTGATCCCGAAAATCCACTTTAAAGAGCTTGAAAGCGGCGAGAACAAGCGTTTTTCAATGTCCTTCCCTTTAGAATGGACAGTAGAGTAAGGCTGATGACGCTTACTCCTTAAGGGACCCAATGGTTATAGCATTGCGGCGGGCAGCCTCCAATGGTGAGATGGAAATTGTCAACTCGTCCAGGCGCGTGTAAGATGGCTTGCGCGTGTAAATTTGAGAGCGATTTTTTCGGCAAAGAAGGCTATGTGGCAACCGAGATTGCACTGTTTCTATACTTAAGCGTTAAGGAATCTACCGCGTTGAAGTCCTAAGTTGTTAAGTTTTGCCGATGCACTGCCCTCAAATAAATTTTCATACTGCTGAAGTTATTTAAAACTTTCAAACTTATCCATTCCCAACAGGGCCCGGCAGGAGGTGGCATTTCAGAATTTTGAAAACGATATCCCCTTTGAAGCCAAAATTTCTTACGGCTTCCCCTTTGACCCTATTTTTGACCCCGTAAGTCCCTGACAAACAGATATACACAAATAATAAGATAGACGGCCTCAGCGCTTATTATAGTAGTAATACCTGGCTTTCCTGGTCCAGCCCGGGTCATCAAGATTTCAGCTCAATGGGTTCATCTGCAATCTATAAAAAAACATAGGGTCAAGATTTGCACAAACTTCGACGTTTATATATCTAAGATACTACTCATTTATTAGTCAGCTGCGAAACTTTACAATTTACAATAACCGACTGCGATTGGAGCGCGCTTTCCGAGGCCGATCATAACGCTGTGAACCCTATTTGGGGCTGTATCGAAGCGGTGCCTTGGTGCTTTTGGAAGCGGATTTGAACATATAGTAATACTCTCGACCTACTCCACATTTATGTAAAGAAATCCGGGAAATTATGTGAAGGGAAGCAGGGAGCCACCCCAGGTGGCTCCCAGGTGGCGCGGGAGCCACCTAATTTCGAAAAACACTTACCATTTTTTAAATTCACATAAGTTTCTCATAATTCTTCATACATTTTTTGTGCTCATGGTCCTCCAACTACACAGCAAATTTGGTGCCATATCGTTACTTGTGCATTGAAAACGAGCCTATTTTGTTATTTTCCTCTTACAAGAATTGCGATTTGAATTCCCGCCTGCGGGCAGGCTAGCGATCGGAGCACAGAATCTTCACATTGCTGGAATCTAAGTTCATAGGACAGTAGCATCAACAAGGAATGATGAATAAAGAATGATATGTGCACTGTTTATCGGGCCCCGGACCCCAAAATACGACTTCCCCTTTGCTTTTTCGGGCCAAAAACGATATCCAGCTTGTGAAAGCGCCACCCCCGCCGGGCCCTGATTCCCAACAAGTAAAGGTAAGTACCTGCGTGTTTTTGACATCTCATATCAAAGCACTTCACAACTTTTTTGGGGGAAACATTTTAAGTGAGAGATAGCTTCATGTGATAAGGCAGTTCTTTACGTAGTTGTACTGACAAGGAAGGTATTTCGTCGAAGTGGTGTTTATAGACATGCATAAGAGACGCCGGTTACAAGTCTACCTTCTAAATTTGCCACTCAAGTTTATTACTGATAAAGATAGGCTTCCTATATTGAGATACTTTTGAAAAAGTGTGCCATCTCAACCATAAACACCCATTGCAAAAAGAGGTAAAGGGATCGATGTATTTACTCTCCAAAAATTATTTGATGTTTGAACATTCGCAATAAGTTAACGTTCTCTGTTACACTACGGGCTTTGAGGTGTACACGGCTTAGGAATCATCGAAAGAGGGAGATTACACAATGGCAAGATTTTGTTTATGTAGCTGTTCATGTTAGGTTTCGCCATTATTCAGTTTTTAAAAATGTAAAAGCTATAGTTTTACGAATTTTCTTTGCACCTAAAATAATCAATGTAGAACAATAACTCTGAGACTGTACACTCAACTAAAGCACCTTACAAACAGGCATGCTTAGGAGATCACCTGACAAAAGTGTAAAAGCAAGCTGGGTAGGTTAATTCCAACACAGCAAAAATATACTTTTAAGCAGATTTGCATAATCAAACATTCTCTAATCCTGTCTCTCGCCGACTGACTACGCAGATGACACGCATGCATCACGAAAATTTCTTCTTGCAGCATGTTTTTCGTAATGCTTCTGAGACCATTTCTTGGTACAAGTTTTCTGAGATATTCTACGCGTTTCACTTTCCTCTTTGGTGAGGTTGTTTAGAAACCTTAGTGTTTTTAATCCAGGTAATAATCATGAATCCCTGGTGCAATGAGCTGATTTGCATCATTTGCTTGAGTATAGCAACCACATCATTGATGACCAGCTACGACACCCAGTCATTCATTGTCGAATCTATTCTGCATTCTGTACATATGAGGGAGCCTACTAGAATAGACATTCATGCAGGTTATTACGGGTAAGTAAGATGACTTCGACAATGGATACGATTTTGATTGTTGAATAATAGAAACATCCATTCTATCAATATTACATTGCGACGAGTTGGTGAGTAGGGCCAACAACAACAGCATAATATGCACAAAACAAAGGTACTGCTCCATAACAATTGTTTGAAAACCGAGTTTGGTTTTGCGAAAGCTCTCCTTACTTAGTTCCTGCTTATCACAAACAACTCTGAATATTGCACAGCAGCATGATTTTCTGATGTTGGGCATGCGGTAAAGTTCAGGGACCTAAGTTTGTTCAGAACTTTGCATGCATACTACATTTTGACCATGACCAATATATCGGAAATTTGCAGTGGTCTTTTTTGAGCAATAGAGTGTACGGCAAATCAAGTGCGCTTCGCCGATTTAGTGTGCGCTATGTATCATTCGTCCGACAACGTGCGCAAAGCGTCGCAACACAGCTCTAAGCGGCCGATCAAGCAGGAAGTATGAACGGTTTCCAAAAAATGTCTAAAATACATTTTTTCAATCGCAGTAAACGAAGAACCCTCTAATCCCCTATACCCCCTATATCGTACAAGTGCGAGTCCTTTCATCCACGTTCCGTATGATGCTACGTGAAAAACGGGTGGTTTCATGCCGGCGAAATTACTTCTCTGGCCAAGATTTCCGTCTAAAATGGAAAAATGAAGGCTTTGACAGCACTAACGATATCGTTAGGCTGAAACAAATCGCTCAAATAATATAGCACAATAGAGTGCAGTGGCGGAGAATCGAACCGAGCGATGATTGAACCAAAGCTAACAACGCGCCCTGAGTTGAGAGTCAGTGATGGGGAGACTGCCAGCAAAAAAAGACAAAATTGGTTTAGACAGAGAAAAATGACAATAATGCAGTAGCTTGCCAAGCATCAAAGTGCATCAATCATATGGATCTGTAGCATACACATTAAAGCCATGTTTAAAATACAGGGACAAATTTTGGTCATGTGTGGTAATGCAATGTTTTAACATAAAAATTTCATATTCAGGCCGGCGGTGCTTTATGCAGCGTACACTACCGCAAACTTGTTTGCTCCTTGGATATGTTATCGCATAGGCTCAAAGTGGACCTTATTTGTTGGCAGCTTGATGTTTCCTGCTTACCAAGCCGGTTTCTTCTTTTTGCATTCCTTTTATTACTACGCCACTCAAGCTTTAATGGGCATCGGCTTTGCCAGTGAGTATTTACTATTTTAATTTTTCGAAATACTTCTGATAAGGAACTGGCAGTGTACTACGCTGGACAGGGCTTATATATGTCAGAGCACTCAACTAAATCTACCATATCCAGAAACTCTGCTCTAGTGAGTGCTATTGGAAATTGCAGGTTGGTTGCTTTATTCCAGTGAGCTTGGTATCGTAAAACAACAAGCAGTTTACAGTATGCTCAACGGCGGAATAATCATGACTCTTATATTTTATCTTAGAAGAAAGAGCGAGAGCCTTATAGATGTGGTCAAAGTTGTCGACGGACCCAGCTATCGGTAATTTGGCTTTTGCATAAGCTCTCCTTATTACAGATGGGGTTTTCAGAGATTTCTCAAACAAGGAGATTTACGTAATTTACGGAGTTCTTCTGGTTTTTTCCGCTACCTCAAATATTATCTTTGCCTCGCTGCCCACAAAGAGGATCAGTGACTCTGAACAATTCGAAAATGTCGACAAAGCAACATTTCGTACTCAGCTTTGTTAGTTTTCAGTATGTTTCAATTGACTGCCTCTTTCGCGGCAGTCGCACATCCGCAGCGCGAGAGCCTCGCGTGCTCACCTGCTAGTGGTGAGAAAACGGGTACGATGTGCGCTTAAGCCAGACGCTTGCTACCCTACGATCGCGCGAGGTACTCGTCAAGTGGAGTGCAGGTCGAAAAAGGACACTACGATTGAGACATACTGTCATCTTTTGCCTTATGATAATTACAGCCAATCTTCTCGATTGCGCCAAAGAACCGAGATTGGTATTGCTAGCTGCATTTTTCGCATTTTACGGCTTCCATGTTTCTTATTTTCTCGGTGCCTACCCTACCACATTCGCCTTCACAAAAATACTTTCTACAAATGTTTATCTACCCGCCTATTACAGTTTTATGATAGGAGTAGGAAGCGTTATAGGTTAGTCCAGATTGCTAACAGCAAATCCATCAAATTTCGTTCATTTATTTAGCTGGCGGTTATATTGCTTTGTTCAACACTAAGTTTAGCAACTTTGGCCTTATACCAACTATGGCAACCGAAGTTGTGCTCAGTATTGTTATGTACTTGTTGACATTCGCCACTACTGCTAATCTGGCAACTGTTCAAACAACCGATGACACGTCAACATGGATCACGCCATCGTAAGTTTCTGCAAGTGCGAGTACTAGAACTTCTTTGTTTTTGGCAGTCTCTTGAGTGTACCTGGAACAAAGCTAGATTGATGATTGTGTCCTGCAAGATGTTATTGCATTAAGCTGGCTTGTAGGACTATGTCAAGAGTGGGAACCAGAGTCTAGTATGTCTTCAAGCATCTGAGAAGCGTATTTGAAATTAGAAAAAAAGAAAGCGGGAGAAAGAGTAGTTGCTGACGTGATATTAATGATGATGACAGCATCACATTCGTTAACGACACTTCAGGTCAATCCATTTTGAAATTCAAGCACACTAAGATATTGACCTATTGCCGTATACTTATTCAAGCATAATAAAGAGCTTCCATCAAGCATAATGAGTGAGATTTTCGTTATCAGGACATCAGTTGAGCCCTGCGCAACAGGTTTTAGCGAATAGTGGGATGGTTAGGTTTTCAAATATTGGGCTACCTTAGGCTGCGTTCATGCTGATCCCGAAGTACAGTTCCAGCACAACGCTCAATTCGAGCACTGTGCTGGGACTGTTTTCGGACTACGGGATCAGTATGAACGCAGCCTTAGGGTTTGGGCCATACGTTGCCATCAGCTGTTGCCAGTGTTGCCGACGTTGTATCACCCCAAAGAGCATATACAGCACGGTAACTACCATAAGGTTCTACAACGATACTGCGTCCCTAGTCATTGGCTACGCCAGCGTATGGAACCGAACATTTCGTGAAATTCATCTTCAAGCCTTCTAGCATTGCTTCAGAGATGAGTAAGCCTTACTTTTTGCACTCGTTTCAGAGCTTCATTTTGATCTACAAAAGGACTTCGCTCCAAGTAACGCCAAACTGTGAATCCAGTAGTTCAAGTAAAATTGCATTCTGTGTTCTGGTTGAGCAAGCGCCATTCGGACAAATGAGACGAATCAGGCTCGAATCACTTTCATTGAAACTATGAGGGCTGCTATACTCCATTTTACAAAATTCGCGGTGTGTGAACGACCCCAAAGTAGGGTAGCACCCATCTCACTCATTGTTATCGCGAAATTTTGCCAAGTTACAGTCGAGTAGATTTCCTGCTTAATATAGTGTCCCTGCAGACGCGACAACGCTGGGGCGTCAATAATTGCCTGACGAGTACCCGAGGTAGTATTTTCCAGTGTTTTCTTTGCTTATTCTATGCTTTTTAGGTGATTCGTCGCTGATAAAGAAGAAAAGGGTAAGTTAGAAAGTAGTTTCTGTTTTCTGAGAAGTTCTATCCGCATATTCACAGATATCCACATGGAAGCAGTTCGCGTCAGCTTCTTGTCTATTTTTCTGTCACTTCGTATCTCTTTTTTCTTGTGAGGTACTTCTTTGAACGCTAGTAGGTTTTTACGATTGACTTATTGTCTTTATCACATGATTAAAATGCTATTTCTTGTGGATGAAAGCCGAAGTTGCTGCTGGACAAGCCAACTAGCGTTCAAAGAAACGCCTCACAAGAAGGAGGAGGTTTGAAAGAAGAAGTGACAGAAGAAAAGGAAATGACAAAAAAATAGACAAGAAGCTGACGCGAAATGCTTCCGCGTGGTTATCTGTGAATATGCGATGATAGAACTTCTCAGAAAGCAGAAACTACTCATTAACTTACCCTTTTCCTCTTTATCAGCAACGAATCAACTAAAAAGCATGAAATAAGCAAAGAAACACTGGAAAACACTAGCTCGGGAACTCGCAAGGCATTTATTGACGCCCCAGCGTTGTCGCGTCTGCAGGGACACTATATTAAGCAGGAAATCTACTCGACTGTACCTAGATGCAGTTGTCATGCTTAAATCTTGTAATGTTCACGTACGCGACTTGAGCATGGTGCGCCTTCACTCTTTTGAATAGTAGTTGCTGAAGCACAACCGCGGAAGCAAACAATGCAACGGACGAGATTCTTTCTAACTGGGATTTTAGTGCCATTGGCGCTTATTGGTAGTGAGAATAGATTATGTGCAAAAAGTGCAAACAACAGTCAACCATATTTGAAAATGTTTTTTCTCACATAGGTAGCCAATATAAAGCTTAGAATGTGTTTAAACTCAGTGCAAAGGTTTGACATTTTGATTACAAAAATAATGCACTGTGCTTGAAATTAATGGACCTCATCGTTATGCCTATGGTGGCTCATTATTGCACGGAGTGATCGTATTGAGGCATAAGCAGGATTGAGCGTGGGGTCAGCCGCACCCGATCTAGGGGGTCGTAGTGAGGGTAAGAGCAAGGGGGGGGGGGTCGTAATCAAGAAGCGAATTTGTCCAAAAAGTGAGGAAATACTATGATCGAGTAAGGCGAAAAAGAAAAGCGCTCAACCGTGAATTCCACAACTCTACCAGAGGAATGAAGAGCATGCTGATCAACTCGACTAACGAAGTCTCAACGAATTACAATTCTTCTACCTTACACACACCGTAAGGTCACTAAAGAAGCTTTTTATGTAAATTGGGTGTGATTTCTGTAATCAGCATGCCAAACACCTCAACGAGCTCTACAAACCATTACTTATTTGCATTTTCTGGTGTTCCCTAACGTCTGAAAAGCATGATTTTTATACATGATTAACTTGGTCACAAAAGTAAAAGAAGTCATCTTTTTTGTATTCATAACAAGTATTACTTTTATCGGTCTAAGGTACAAACTGAACTTCATATTGCTTTCAAAAAGTGGATTAAGAAGTGTTGCCAAAATGTTAGCCACCGGGTTTTCTATCTCGAGTGCTTCAAGTCCACCGATCAACACAAAGCTGAACAACTCGATGTAAGCTTAAACACCTACTGTAGAATCTTCGAGTTTATGCCAGTGAATTTTATAAAACTAAGGTGTAAAAGCTTTTTCGGTGGTAAAGTCAAGGGCAGCATCAGCAGAATGGACCCTTGCCAGTTTTTCTTTGTTTTAGGTAGTATACTCCCCAAGTACACCGTAGCCCCAACCCCACCCTCCAATTTTTGCACTGATTGTGAGTCCCGAAAAGCCGCTTCAAACTTCCACCAACGCCCACTCAATGAAAGTGGGCAGGGCTAATGGAACTTTGAAGCTTCTTTGCAGGACTTAGCGCATAATTTGGAGGGTGCAGCTGGGGCTACGGTGTACTTGGGGGGGGGGGGGTGTACAACCTGAAACTACCAAAATCTGACAGAGGCTTCTGGCGATCCACTGCCTTTAATCGGGTCAGGCGCAACCCCTCAAAAGTTCAGGCTGCCTGAGCTGCTCGGTCCATTCCTGGTATGATTGAGCTCATAGCTCCTTCTTGTACAGTGAAAATTCGGAGCCGAACGTCCTTCCCACTCCTCGAAAAATTCTATCCCTTTCAGTAGGTCCATTCAAATCAAAATCAGACGTCAAATTACGTGTGATTGTAAAATGCAGTCACAGAAAATCGGGCGTACACTTCTCAAATATCTGAAAACTCTCTCGAAGAGGATGATGTCCTCCAGAACGTCGCATTCTGAGATTTCGGAGGTCAAGAGGAGGAAGAAGAGGACGTTTGAGGGCTTTCATGGAAGGGGGGGGGGGTTGTTTTCGAAAAACTTGTGCTTGACCTCTTGCTCAACTCCGGGCATAAGTCAGTAGAAGGGAATCGTACGCGACGGTTGTGTGCCACACCTTTTGCTCAGCCCTGATTGGACTCTAGATCTTACTAGTGTTGTTCAATGATCTAATTACCAGAAACAATCCCCCACCCCACATTCATAATTGAATAAAGTTTGATAATGATTTTCTTATATCAAGCTATACGAAGACAAAATTCTGGCGGATACATTGAGATGGAAAAAAGGCTTCTTTGTAGAGTTGCCACCTGCTGCATTCTCGGGTTGTTGAATGGTATGATTGACTGCTGTTCATGCACAATGCGTGCGCTTATCTGCACCATCGCTATCCCACGTAAGAGACTTCAGGCGTACTCTTTAGCCAAGCTTTACCAGGTGAATTATCTTTGGATTTTTCGTAATAAAATGAAGTCACTTTGATTACAGTCAGCTGCATCTTGCGCCGCATACTTCTTGTCACCGCAGTTGACCGTACAAGCGTGGATATTCGTTCTAGCAGGTAATGCCATTCTATGTGGAATGGACCAACTAAGAGTCATTTCGACCTCTTAAACAAACTTTCCAACGTAAACAAAATCTCAAAATCATGCGTCCGTTACGGTAGTCAGGGGTATATCCTGACTAATCATCTAAGGCAGGTGCTATACTCCTCGAGGAGTATAGCATGGCGACGGGCGATCGCCAGTCGTAGCTACTGGCGATCGCCCGTCGTAGCGACTGGCGATCGCCCGTCGCTAATCGATACGTATCAAACGTGTAGTCGCCGATATTGGCGATCATTACTCATTTCCCACTTCCATTTCAAAGTACTCACCAGCCGGTGAGGTCGCCCTAAAAAGAATGAACTGCAAGAGCAGTTTTTCACGTTCAACACTTAACGGTAACTTGTTTGGCGACTGGCGATCGCCAGTCGTAGCGACTGGCGATCGCCCGTCGTAGCGACTGGCGATCGCCCGTCGTAGCGACTGGCGATCGCCAATATCGGCGACAAAAATCGCTGGTTTTGCACGTATTTGATGCATATCGATCGTCGCCATGCTATACTCCTCGAGGAGTATAGCACCTGCCTAAACGCTAACAAAATCCACTAAGTGATACTCATACTGCTCTTTTCTTTCGGTTTTGTCAATTTTTTGAAGTGGAATGATATATAGTAGAACCGATACGAAGATGGGGAGAGGCAAGGTAGTCAGCAGCAAGGCACATCCAAGTTTAGATCCAAGAGTCATTCAGGAATTCAACTCTTCTCAGCCACTGGCTTCGTTCTGGTTTCAAAGCAGATCTTGCGGGACGAAGTTCAGAACAAACCACAACCAAAACACGCCATCAACAAAATCAAACCATCAGTTTGACATGTACAATTTTTTGTCAGAGCTTATTGTTGTTATTTATTTTCCCAGGCAAAGTTGATAATATTATGTATTTTGCATAAAAAAGCTTTGCTTAAACTTTTAATGCAAGATTGTACGTAAATCGGAAAGCATTACAAGTTTCAAAAAACAGAGTATAAGCCTTTTCAGTGCTTGCTTTTCTTTTTCCTCTTTTTCTTTTTCGCTTTCTTCGAGCTGCGTTGGGAATTGTTTGAGGACACTTCTTTCCGAGATTCCTTTGGTGCTTGTGAAGATTCTGCTGGTGAATGAGGAGATGGCTTTTCTGACTCTACTGCTTCATTTAGTTTCGCATCCTCGTTTTGGGGTACGTAGTACTGCTTCTCGAAATCCCAATGCGTTTCTCTCTAAACCAGCTTGTATCAAAGAGATTAAGAAAATTAGCTTCACAGAAATCTCTGCCATTACATATGGATAACGATTTTCCCTTTATCTTCACACCTTAAGTAGCGTACCTCATAAAAGTATCTCGCACTGGGCCTTGTAAAGTCTACAATTCTTTTGTGCATACGTTTTCTTTCCGGAATTTTCACTGATGTCATATCTGTGCAGATATTTTACTGCTATTGATCAAAGTTTTGTAACAACGCATGAAGCGATTCCACCTTACCACTAAGGTTGATCATACTTCTCACAGAATTACCAAACAACAGTCCCCTCGTAAAAAACTGCCCATCTCTCTTCTTAAGTACTTTCAAGTCGTTGAACGGGTTCAAAAGTACTCTGCAAGTAGCACGTCAAACACAAGAAGTGTCCGATGATCTAGATGGATAGGAATGACAAACGGAATTTTTGGCATAGTTTCTAAGACGATCTTTCCATCATCCACGTCTAACACAACTTCTGCATTCAACTGTAAATCATCGGCTGTAATGACATCCACTTCCTAAAAAGCAGTATTTAAAGCAAATTGGAAGTGGTAGCTAAATTTCCAACATTTTCACGCATCCAAAATGGCTGGCTACCGATAAGAACCTGACCATTGTTATCTTTGTTACCAGTAATGATTGGACAGCCACTTTCAAGCTTCTCACTGACTTCTTGCTCCTCTCTTGCCGCAACGCTCTGTTATGCTTAGCTTAGATACTATAACACCAAAAATGGTGTGGCTTACCGTAGAAGGAAGTACCAAGGTATCTTGTGTTGCATCAACGAAAATCTGAAGTGATACGGGTTACAAATCCGGGTTCCAAAAATTGAGCAAATCAAACATTCTCAGCTTCCTTTCTCCGCTCCGATGAAAGTCTTTGTGTACGAGGAAAAGCCACTTCTCCGTAAGTTTCGAGTTCTCGCTGCAGTGTATCATAAGGGGCTTTCAACCCACCTTGCAAGCACATGTACTTACAGTTCGTCTTGGCAAAGTAATCCTTGCCCTGACCCGCTTCACAAATCTCTTCATCGCAGCAGGTCTTATGGGTCTGCTAACGAAGGTCTTCACTTTGCGTCCGACTCTCTCGCTAAGATCCAGTAGTCGACCTACGAAAGAGTTGAACCACCCACGGAGACGATCAGATTTTTGGCAAAGGTATATGAAAGTGAGAGGTTCTTTTAAGGCAAGTGTACTTTGAAAGAGTGAAAAAAACGTACGCGCATTGGAGGATATGAAAAGGCAAACTTCCAAATCTTATGTCTCGTCATTTCTCAAAAAATTGGTAGACATAATACCCCAGCCGGTTTTTAAGCTAGACACCTCCCCCCCCCCCCCCTTAGCAACGTCGTATGGTCGTATTTTGCAGCATTTTCTTTTCGCGAGAGGTTAATTCATTGTTTCAATGTTCATTTAATACCGCATAGATAGAATTTTAGAAAAAAGTTTGATTCAATAAGGGAGGCTGGCAATGGCAAAGTTACTGCTCAAGCAAAGACAGCTACTATTGTAGAAAGTAACAGTAAGTTTGGGTACTGAACCTTCTATACCGTCCCTAAGTTTTGGGCGGCTAATGAATGAATGCGTGTCAATTTTCATCTATGGCTGTAAATGGATTTTTTATATATGCAGATTGTCTAAGAATTTTAGAAAAGGTAGGAAAACGATATCATAAACTTACTAAATCTTGACGATCGCTCCGAAACCTCCCCACTGCTTTCCTTACTATAAAAAAGATTTTTTAATTAGCATTTTATCAATCGGAATCCCCCCTTCTTTTATGGTCCGCTGTCTCACGTGGCATGGTAGTGGCCCTGGATGTCGAACTGCAATTTACACCCTGTGTATATACTCTGATAGGGCCTCAAAGCTATGGAGGAGTACGACATTTCCGATTTCAGTCGGATGCCTAACCTAAGTGCTACCAAGCCAGATCCCGCACCATCCGACTTTTCTGATCGCTTAACGGTCCCCGCTCCACACCCGAGGTTAGCAAAGTGGAAATGAGTTGGCCCCTAATGTGTTTGCTCTCGTGATGCAGAAATTTATTACTTCAACAGCTGAAAGAAAAGAAAGAAAACTTGCATATCAAACCCCGCTCGGCGCCGGGTGGTAGCAAGAACTTTGTCAGGGTTCTCAGGACGTCATTTGGATCGGACAAAAACGACCCGTCCGCCCGGACGACATCCTGCCTCAGGCTCTGCACCTGCAACGGAAAAACAAATCTTCACAAACAGCGACCTCCGTGCTTTTTTTGACGCTGCGACGCATCAATTACAACGTCATCGCTCTGCAGGAAACGAAGTCTAGGAAGAAGAATATGCGACAGATGAGTGACGGGACCCTCATTATTCGTGGTGAGAAGGTTCCATCACGAAACATTGGAAGCTTTAGCTTTCTCGTCCACCCATCCAACATCCATCTTGTCGATTCGCGTGAGATCCTATGATCCAACTAGGCATACTAAAACTAAGACCACCAGTGGCCGTATTCATCAACGAACCCTGAGAGTTAAACTAACCTTGGATGTTAAGTCTAATCTTGCGAAGCGATTAACCCGTATTCACGAAGCACAGGGTAGGCTTGACCCCGAGGGTTAAATCTACCCTTGAGGCAGTGGCGTACCCAGGATTTTGGCTCGGGGGGGGGGGAGGCGCGACAAAAAATTTCTTCTAATGAAGGTGCGTGGCGTTAGCCACGCACTCCGAAAAAATTTTTTTATAAAGCTAATTTGAATTTTTAAAAATTTTAAAAAATATTTTAATTATTTACAAGTATAAACAAGTCATTTGCACATTTTTATAGCCCTTACAAGTAACTTTCAAAAATTTCGCGACCCATTCTCGGGGGGGGGGGGGGCGCGCCCCCCCGCCCTCCCCCTCGGTACGCCACTGCCTTGAGGGTAAACCTTACCCTGGGAAGCGATTAACCCGTATTCATCAACGAACCCTGAGGGTTGAACTAACCCTCGAGGGTAAAACTTATCCCGAGAGCGACCGTATTCATGAAATAATTTATCAGGGTTGGTTTAACCCTAGCTTAGAGCAAGATCAGCTCTTCCTTAACACTTCATGCAAACAAAAAGTGATTTCTCGATGCACTACTCAACCCTAACGATACTGTTTAACAACAAACACATTTCTAATCAATATTCTCTCAAGTTTGTCTGGTCTAATCATATTGAAAAATTGGAGTAAATTTTTCAGTACTTTATTATTTGAATACGAAGCGTTTTTAGTTGAGTTACGACAGTATGATCATATGAAAAAATTTTGATATTGGTGGACTCAAATTCGATTGAGGAGCCGCAGATGAGCTTTGTTAAAGTTCGTCATATCGAAGCTTTCAGTTGGATATGTACTTCATTTGAAACTAAATCTTTTACTGTAACATTCGGCTAAATATTATAGTGAAACGACCGAAAAATTTCGTCGAACGAATGAACTTCGAATAATCGGCTTTTGAAAAATATTCGAACGAACGAATATTATTCGATCTGTGATTTTCAGATTATTCGAATTTGAATATTCGAATAATGCTACATTTCAAAATTCGAATGAACTAATATTCGAATAAATGGGGTTGGTCGAACATTCGACTATTCAAATACGAATAATCATACCTACCGAATATTCGATTATTTGAATAATTCGAATAATCTAGTGCAACAAACAATGCTGTTTTTTTCTTTATTGCGGTTTTCTGCAAAAAATTAATCGCTATATTTGATCAAGATTTGTAGCTGATAATTATACAGTGTCCTAAAAAGATGGGCACACTGTTTGATCGTTAATAACTCTCTTGCTTTCATGTCTTTTGCCGAGCTTGAGGTACCATTCTGTAAAGCGAGGTTAAACTTAAATTTACAGTATGGAACGAGTTTCCAACCGCTTTTCATTACTGTAGGATTACGGTATGAATTTTCAGCATACAGCGTCACTGTAGAATAGGCCTTACGGTGAAATAATTTCGAAAAAATCTGAAAGTTTGTGTAGCAAGGTTTTTAGGCGCGCTGATTTCGCTACGTAACTTTTCACCAGTTTTTCGAGCTCTCTTGATGACGTATTCACATTCCTGACGAACACTGGAAAAAAATTGTTACCTTAAATCTGAAATAACTTATGGAAGAAGAGCTGTACTGAAGTGCAAATTTCACAATTAGAACCAGCGACCTCGATTAGCCCAGTTCAAGAGTTTCTGACTTGTTTGGATTTCTTTCCGAAACAAAATACCGCTTTCAATGCTTCAAATCCCTCTGGAGGTTTCTACCGTAACCGTACAGTAATGAAGAGCGATTGATAATTTGCTCCACACTGTAAATGTAAGTCGAATCTCGCTCTACAGAATGATACCTCAAGCTCGGCAAAAGACGTGAAAGCAACAGAGTTATTAACGATCAAACAGTGTGCACATCTTTTTGGGACACCCTGGTGTAGCAAGTGGTAGGATGACTGGGTTACTGTCGTTGATAGGGTTCCAGATAGGAACAGAAGAGCTTTACTCAAACATGCAGTTCAAGGTGTACATGGTCTTTTAAGATGGCTACTAAGCCTTACTGAGTAATCGTTTCAAGTCCGCATTTATTCTTCCTCACAGAAGTTTTTCCCGAAGCTACCCAGAACTTTTTCCTAAAGCTAAAGATTCAACATGAAAAACCTTTTAGATTAGGTAGTTGTTTGTAATTTATTCGCAATGATCAGCACTGCGTGAGTTCTGAAACTAGAAGAGTTTTGTACGTTTTCTGCATATCACTATAAAACCACGCACAATAAAGACCCGAATGAGCTTCAACATGCATTCGATGCAGCTTTTCCTTCTTTTTAGAATACATTTTCGAACCACAATCTTATATGCTTTCTTTGATAATTGCCAAAATTTTCCATCCGCCAATTTTATGTGCTCAAAGTTAGGCTACTTTTTTTGAATCTTACTTCAAAGTTTCGGAAAGGACTAAGTATGGCCAAATAGAGCAAATCTCGGACTACAAGGAAATATTTTTGAACTCTCTTTTTGCGTGTTTAGCTTCAAAGACATTATTTCTTCGGAAGTCTCGATTTCTTTCAAAGTCATGAAACACGCAACTGCAGCAAATACACGAAAGCTTTTAAAGCTTTTGCGAGATGAAATATGATTCTTATCAAAAATTATTTATGTAACATAAGCAAGTTCGACTTGCTAAAATGCAGCTTTTTGGAATTTTCGGTACTTTTACGTGATAAACGTAATCAAAAACCCGCAGTTTTTATCAAAGAAATAATCACAACGAGCTTGGTAAACATGGCCTATGTAATCCAAAATGGGTGCAATGTGCAAAGGCTGGCTCTACATAGCAATTCAATTATCAGCGGTCTTTGAAGACATTAGGATAAAAAATTTCTAAATTCAGTGAAGATTTGGCGTTACTTTTGAGCTGCTCAGAAAGCCGTAGCGATAACATTGCAAAGACGGAGTAGATCAGAGAGCAAATACAGCTGTAAGAAAGAAGATAAAAACATGTATCATATTGTACCTAAATTGTAAAAACATGTATCATATTGTACCTAAATTGTCCATGAATTGGTGTTCTGTGAGTTCTAGTGAGCGATGAAAAAAAACGGACAAAACTTTCGGGACAATCTAATACTTCTGTGCTCATCTACACAGAAAAAGTATCATGGAAATATCTGTATATTACCTGATAATCTAGTACTTGTCAGGAATTATCAGTCACTAGTTTCACAGTTTCTGCGGAAGGATTGAATTCTCACAAAATTGTTTTAGTTGTATTGAGGTTTGTACTTTTGTTGTAAAAAATCTTCCATATCTTTTACTCAGGTTCAAAATAATTATTGTTCAGCCTACACGTCTATTCGAAGTATTATTCCTCTACTAACTTTGTAACATTCTAACACTAGTTTTCTACGCCTTCGGACTATAAGGGCAGCCGATTTGAGTATAATGACTGATATACATGCTGCCGCCACAAGTCAAGCGACTCAGGTCTTCACCCGCCTTGCTCGGGCTTTGCGCTGTAACGTATCTTTCAGTTATTATGACATGCGAGCGGTGATTAGGCTGGCAAGGCAAGTGAAGATCACGAGATGAAGGAATGAGAGTTGCCTATACCCGCTGCCTTAGAGGACTGCTGGTCCTTCACATGCTTATGCAAGCTGTTTGAGGACCATTGGTCCGCTAAAGGGCGCCTAATGACGGCTTTTCTTCACTCGATTTAGAGCTTGGAGGTATTTCCGCATGATATTGCATCTTAACTTCTCAGACGCGATTTCCAGAAGATAGTTCAGCACTCCAAATGAATTACGCATAAGACTTGTCAACTGTGCTCTGGCATGACTCCCGACTCATGCCTTAAAAAGGGAAGCTTGCTAGCCATTCTGTCATATGATAATTAATTTGTGTGATTGACCGATCGGGGACATACTTGTAATCAGTCAGTGTAGAACAGCTGAAGTTTTCTTTTGACATGGAATGTTCGAATGAATGTTCTTAAATATTCGAATATTCGAATAACTGTCTTTAAAGTTGGCTCGAATATTCGAATATTTGAATAATTGTCTTTTGAAATTCCTCGAATAAACGAATATTCGAATAACTCATTTTTTTAGACATCGAATGAACGAATTATTCGAATACGGCTTTTTTTTCATTTATTCGACTATTCGAATAATCGAATAATTGGACTTTTTCGAATATTCGACCATTTATTTGAACCAGTGCGTCACCTCTGC